ATTCAGAGGAAGTCTTTCTATTAATTTCAGTGAGCTTTGGACCAAGCCCTGGTGAGCTGTGCGCCATGCCTCTGATGGTGCCAGAGGATTAGGAAGGTGTCCAATTTGCCAGTGGGTTATTAGATCACTGGGTCCCCCACCAGAAATCAGCTACAGGCAGGGGAACCCCTTTGTGTGGAGAGACAGTACTGAGAGGCTTCTTGGGGACATCCATCAGTTCAGATTTCTGAATGCCTAGCTGGATCCCAGATCTCTGCAAGTGCTCCCATCACCGATGGTTAGGTATTTTTAAAATATCACAATATTATATCGCACACAATATCACAGTATTGCGCTCCTGATCATTAAAATCCACAGCTCTCCGGAAGATGCATACAGCCCTCTCTGGTGGCTAGTAGGGCCTCAGCCCTTCCAACTTGTCTGAGGCCAGTTCTCCAAACAACTGTGGCAACTCTGCATGCAGTCACACTCCTGGGCCACATTTTTTTTTCCATACTGCCCTTTTCATTCTTGTGTTGACCTCTGAGTGGTCCCGTGTGCTCCCCTTGTGCCTGAGTGCTGAGCCAGTGAAACCTGTACATGCCAAACAATTAATTAAGTTTAACAACATTTTTTCCAGAGCTTCTGTTCTAAAGCATTTATCTGGGATTTAAAATTCTTTAGCTTTTATTCAGCACACACGTACCACGTTGTCACATGGCTCCTGGATTGGCTCACAGTTAGTCCCAGGCCCTGGACCAGATCCAGTGTCGTTGCCACAGCACATTTAAGCTTACAGCAGGGAGGTGGCCTGAACAAAACCACCAGCCAAATAAGGTATTATCATCCCTCTCTGCTTCTTTTAATGGGCAGCCACTATTGCTACTATCCCTGTTGATGTCAGCCCAAAGAGGAGCCCAGAGTGCTGCAAATGCCGAAACCTGAGGCAAAAATCAGAGCTATTTACGGTGTTGGTATGATATTCGCATGTGGAAATATGCATCATGAAGGACTGTCAAGGCCAGATTTCCTGGCTCAGCTATTATGGTCGGTGAGTCCATTCTAACTTGGCTTGGGAGGCAATAAACCGATTTAACCACTTCAAGGCCTGAATCAAAAGTCTCCCCTAGTCTCTTCTGTATCACGGAATGCATGGAACATATCCATATTATTATTTACTGTGCACCAGAAGTCCAATCAACTATGTACAAAGCATGGGAGAACACTGACCTGCAGGGAGTTTACAATACAATCCACATTAGACATCAGTTGTTACAGTCTATATGTAATTATCAATCAGACTGTATATCACTACAATGCACTTAAATAAAATATAAAATAGAGTGAACATCAAACTTCATACAGCTGATAATTTATAACTTTTCCCCTCTTCTTCCCCTTTATCCTCTACCACACTTGAGGGGTCTGTAGGAAAGGGCCTGGTAGAAGAGACTTGGCAAACAATGGGCGGGTGTTCCAGTATAGGGGGAGTCTTGGGGACGGAGGACAAGACAGGAGTGAGAAACCCAGAAAGGGAGCAGGAGGAGATGAACTGTGCAGAGCCTTGAAGATGTGGATAAAGAGATCAACTTACAACAGAAGGAAAGGGAAGTTAGCTAAGAGGATTCAAAGGGAGAGAGTGAAAGAGAAGCTTTGCAGCTGTATTTGTAAAGGACTGAAAACAGGTAAGTCGAGAAGCTGAAGACAAAAGAAAAAAGGCTGCAGAAGTCAGAATGTGAGAGAGGGCCTAGCCCAGGGCTTGGGTGGTAGGAATAGGCAGATTTTAGAAATGTTGTATAGGCGATAACCTCGAAAAGGCATCAGATGACACAGGGACTACAGTCTCTTAAATGATTTATTTTCTCCAAATCTCTGGATTGCTTTAGAGGCCATCTTGAAAAATGAGAGTCCACTACCTTGCTAGAGTGGAGATTCCCGACCTCTGTGGGACTGACTTGCAAGCCTGAAGGGATGTGGCTTCACTGCTCAATACTCAAGGGGCTGCTTCTTATCTGGGAGTCTGAATCACATCCTTCTAAGGTTCACCAAAGATACAGGTCTGCTTTGTCCACGGGAACTGAGGGGGCTGAAGCAGCTTTAACCTTGGCAAGCCGTGCTGGGGGGCTTAACAACAGCCTTCTGGAAACCTGGACTTGTGCTGAGTGTGCTAAAAATAGAAAGACGTCTGCCTCAAAGAGAGACCAAACAGAAGGGTGCCCTTCCCCTGGGAAGACTAAGTGAGAACTGGGAGAGTTCTGTTCTCAGGGAAACTGCAGTTTTAGCAAACCGTGTCGAGCCAGGAAGCAGCAGCGTAGAAATCTCAAGAGAGAATCCACCAGAAACAGTCGACAAGAATTGCCATGCAACAGCCAGCTCATGAGTCAAAGGTTCTCTCTAGGGCAGCATACGCTTCACTGGAAAATGCCTCAGCAGCAAGATCACAGGTCCAGAAATTGCCCCACAAGTTATCTTACTCCGGCCCCAAGGAATTGATTCTAATACCTGGCAGAAATGAGCGTGCTCTCCCTTGGATGAGTAGGATGTCGGTCCCAGGGCATTAGCGACACAAGGTAGGGGAGGTAATATCTTTTATTGGACCAACTTCTGTTGGCGAGAAAGACAAGGAGGAAGAAGGCTGGAGGAAGGTGGCATATACAGACTGAATGAGCTGGCTAAGCCTCATAAGTTTCCGACAATATACATAAGCAGTGTCCACCACAAATCCAAAAGAAGAGTGGAAGCGCTGAGCTTCCCCGACAAAAGGCGAACCACACAACAGCACACATCCTACTCATGGCCACTTCCTGCAACCTAGGGGCGCAAGCCACGCAGAGGGAGAAAAGGCTTCCTGATCAGAAGCACCGGGCCAGTAGCCTGTGTGTGTAATACAGCAGCCCAAAAGCTCATTATCCTTTGCACTGCCATGCTGCATTACACATGGGTACCTAATTTCCTGGCCATTATCACTGCTCAGCCTCCATGTGACTCTGCCTTTCTCACATCCCTCCCTTTTTATTTTAACGGGTTTCTATTCTGGTATTGTCCAGTACAACTCTATATTTACTGCCTAGATCCCACTTTGGTGTCCTATTCCCTCTCCCCTTCCTAAGCCATCCCCTGCTATGCTGCCTTTTTGACTCCTGTCACCTTATTCTACCCTTTTGTCCTGGTTTAAAGCTCTCGCAACCAGTCCCCACTAGTCTAATTCCTAAGAAAGCCTCATTATTGACATTGAGGGGACCTTTTTTCAACATGGAGGGGCGCGGCAGAAAGAAACCAGAAGAGTTGGTGAGATATATACAAGTTTGCCAGTTCTTGCAGTGCTTATCCCAAACACTGCTTGGGATATACTCCTACACTCAGGCCTTGCTCCTGCAGCTGACTACACATGGACACACTCCTGCATTTGCACGGGGTTTCAGTGAAGTCAATGGGGCTCCGCAGAGGTGTAGGGAGGAATACACCCACATGCAGTCAACTGCAGGATCAGCGCCTTAGATTTGGAGTCCAGAGACCCTGAACCATCTTTTTGTGGTGTATACACAGTGCCTAACGTGAAGGAACCCCAAGCCTTTGCTGAAGCCTCCAGGCATCACCACAATACAAATAACACACAATACTGAATTAAGGAAAAATAGGCTAACAAGCAACAGTTAAATAAATGCCTTGCACAAAATTAAGTGAGGTCTGTTTTGTCCTTGCAATTTTATCAGTCAAGAGACCTTGAAATAAACAAAGTATATGAGAAAAATGTGCACACTCTGACCCCTGCTCTGCAGTCTGATATGGATGGGAAGACCCTAGCCTTAATCACTTCAGCATGGGCTGTGTGGGAATAAGGATCCACATCTATGGACATCCTATGTGACATGGAAGAGCAAAATGCACTCCTGGCTCATTGCTACAGTAGCAAGTCAGTCTAAAAAAATGAATGTACTGTAGTATACGCAGCCAGTTAAAACCACTTAAATATTTGTTTATCTCCCATAACCACATTCCAAAAATATTCTGAAATAGGCAAAGTGGGGCAATAAAGCGGATCCTAGAACAAAGTATGAATCTAGTCAAAATGAACAATTATTTGAAGGGATTAAACTATCAAGTGCAACAAGTCAGACTGTAGAGAGTCTGAGCCACGTCTTTTCTCCTACAGAAGTGCAGACTCTGGAGATCATGCTAGCTGAGATACCACTCTACAAGTGGTCTCATTGAAATGAATGGGAGTAAAATGCTATTCCCCAGGAATAAAGGTGTCAGAAGAAGACTCAAAGTTTGGTTTTCATGTCAACTCTTTACCCGCCAACACAAACTGTAGCCAGTTTCTAACAGAATGTTTGATCTTCAGAGTGGAGAGAGGTTAATAGTAGGGTGCCCCACAGTTTAGCACTGGGACCAGCATTACTAAGCGGGATATTTTCAAATGCACAAGAGGCAGCAACTCCCTGGTGGGCCCCATTTGCACCTTGGGAAGTCTCCCTCCCACCCCCCGAAGCTTTGGAAGAAGTAGACAGCGAGCTGGTGATGCTGTTTTGGTTAGTAAAATGAGAACAGAGGAATTCCACATGACTTGAACACAATGAATGATTGGGCACCATAATGAAAGATTAACTTCAATCTAAGTACATTGACAAAAATTGTCTAAACTTCTCATTTGCTGATGGGCTCTGATCTCTGAGTAAAAATAGCTCCCGAGGGCAAGGACTGTCTTTGATTTTGCTTGTTTATATGGAATCTAGCACACAACAGGGCCCTGATCCCTGGCAGGGGCCTCCATGTGCTACAGTTCACCAAAACTTGAACGATTTAGCATAGAATAGAAAAGAGGTTACTGTTATGGGGAAAGAAAATATTAATTGAACAGCCCAAGTCTTTAGAAACATTAGCTATATCAATGTAGTAAGATTCTATAGCAAAGCAATTATGTCACAGAGTTTACATACACCCCTCCTGGGTGCCAAATAATTCTCCAAGCACTGAGTTCAATTAAAAAGCACTCAGCTTGTGAGTTCTCACACACTTACCTGACATCATTACCGCCATGGGCAAAAGATCCAAAGCAGGCTGTTAGGATCTGGAGAAAGTGAAAAAGGAGGTGGACCTGAGACGTGTCCTTCTCCTCCTTTTCCTCTTCTACAGAATCTTCTGGGAGTTGGTTAGGATCTGCTAGGTCCGATGCCAACTTCATTTCCACACCACCTTCGTCTGCCTCAATCTCTGCCTCAGCTACAGCATTGCAGTAGCTGGAGTAGCTATCATAGCGAACTCTCTTTTTAGAATAGGCCACTGTGTCTCCCACCAACTTTTCACTGTCTTCTGGGGTTGATGTATCAACTGCCTTGAAGGATGCATGTACTGGCATTCCACAGATGGCAGCTGTGTAACAAGTGTAACTGTTGTTGCGACGCAGTATCTTGTAATTGTTTTCTTGTGAGGGCCTATCGTTGTTTGCCCTGTCCAGATGTATTCTGTGTAGCAAGTCTTTGTACAATCCTGAGTCTTTATGCACTGTGTGATACACCTGGCCATCGCTCCTCACATGACCGCCGTCAAAATTAAAAGTGCCATTGGAAACAGGAGATTTCATGGTGGTTTGTGTCATAGAAAAAGCCCTTCCTGTAAAGGCAGATGGTCAGATTTTATTTCTATCATATGAAATATGAAAGTTCTATGCTTGGCAAGACACCGAAACAAGGAGTAAATGGCTGAAGGGACAGCCATCTGCAGTATATGATACAGAAGTTCATCTCAGATACATGAATGCATTGATCAATTTCAAAACAAACCTGGATAACTTTTAAGGGAATGTCTACAGCTGGGAGTATGGATAGTTTTATGGTTAAGGCACTAATCTGTGCCTCAATACATCTTTGCTCAAGTCCCAGATCTCCCACAGACGTGCTGTGTGACTTTGGGCAAGTGCCTTAGACTGGAATTTGGGTGCCTAACACAAGGCAACTTTTAAAATTCTACCCATAATCTCTCTATGCCTGAATTACCCATTTCTAAAATGGTAGTAAATACTTCTTTCCAACTCGCCTTTGTTTGGCTTGTCCATTTAGATTGTAAGCATTCCAGGACAGGAACAGTCCTCTGACTGTGGGTTTCTTCAGAGTAAGGGGAAAATGTTCAAAAGCACCTAGATGACTTAGAAACCTAACTCCCATTTTTAATGACAGGTTTCAGAGGAACAGCCGTGTTAGTCTGTATTCGCAAAAAGAAAAGGAGTACTTGTGGCACCTTAGAGACTAACCAATTTATTTGAGCATGAGCTTTCGTGAGCTACAGCTCACTTCATCAGATGTATACCGTGGAAACTGCAGCAGACTTTATATACACACAGAGAATATGAAACAATACCTCCTCCCACCCCACTGTCCTGCTGGTAATAGCTTATCTAAAGTGATCAACAGGTGGGCCATTTCCAGCACAAATCCAGGTTTTCTCACCCTCCCCCCCCCCCCCACAAATTCACTCTCCTGCTGGTGCTAGCCCATCCAAAGTGACAACTCTTTACATAATCAAGTCGGGCTATTTCCTGCATAGATCCAGGTTTTCTCACATCCCCCCACCCCCATACACACACAAACTCACTCTCCTGCTGGTAATAGCTCATCTAAACTGACCACTCTCCAAGTTTAAATCCAAGTTAAACCAGAACATCTGGGGGGGGGGGGGGGTAGGAAAAAACAAGAGGAAACAGGCTACCTTGCATAATGACTTAGCCACTCCCAGTCTCTATTTAAGCCTAAATTAATAGTATCCAATTTGCAAATGAATTCCAATTCAGCAGTTTCTCGCTGGAGTCTGGATTTGAAGTTTTTTTGTTTTAAGATAGCGACCTTCATGTCTGTGATTGCGTGACCAGAGAGATTGAAGTGTTCTCCGACTGGTTTATGAATGTTATAATTCTTGACATCTGATTTGTGTCCATTTATTCTTTTACGTAGAGACTGTCCAGTTTGACCAATGTACATGGCAGAGGGGCATTGCTGGCACATGATGGCATATATCACATTGGTGGATGTGCAGGTGAACGAGCCTCTGATAGTGTGGCTGATGTTATTAGGCCCTGTGATGGTGTCCCCTGAATAGATATGTGGGCACAATTGGCAACGGGCTTTGTTGCAAGGATAAGTTCCTGGGTTAGTGGTTCTGTTGTGTGGTATGTGGTTGTTGGTGAGTATTTGCTTCAGGTTGCGGGGCTGTGGCAACGGGCTTTGTTGCAAGGATAAGTTCCTGGGTTAGTGGTTCTGTTGTGTGGTATGTGGTTGTTGGTGAGTATTTGCTTCAGGTTGCGGGGCTGTCTGTAGCTCACGAAAGCTCATGCTCAAATAAATTGGTTAGTCTCTAAGGTGCCACAAGTACTCCTTTTCTTTTTCCCATTTTTAAAAGTGCCTAAGTCACTTTTGAAAATGGAGATCTAGGTGTGTTTGAAAATTTTACACTAAATAAATAATAAGTGCCATGCAACTTTAGTGGTAGTCAATCATTGGATTTTGGGAGCATTAATTGATCTCCATAAACTGAACCCCAAAGCTTATGAATAAAAGCATATTACTGTGGGCACTCTAAAAGTATTACAAATAAAGTTGTTAACGCTGCCCAGTTAAAAGTTCAGAAATGGATAAGTTAAAGCTGCTAAAGAAATGTTAGTCAACATATTGAATATCCTGTATTTTTTACTTCTATTAACATAATAAACACAGTGACACAGCTATTTTTAGCTGTACCGTATGCTTGTCTACACATGTTTACATTAAATGTAGATTACAGGATTCACAGAGTGGCTAAGTTAACATTGCTGAAGACACCTTAACTTTTCCATTTCCTCACTTTGGGGATTTTAACTATTCAACATTAAAATATTGTTGTTTTGTTTTATTTTTAAAAAGGTCTGTAGTGGTTGTATACATTTATGGAGGTAATATATCCAATTAGTTTGTTCTCACAAGATCAAATGGTCCACTCTTAATAGTAATTATACAGGTCAGTATAGACACTGCTTCGGTGTCAATGAGAAAAAGAAAAACTCCCAGCTGACTAGCTAATAGGCACCACTCAGCCGAATGTGCCTCTTCATTGTGAAAAACTGCATTTACTTATATGCACTGCACACTTAGGCCATAACCATACCAACTGCACCATGCCGCATGGACAAACCCTTGCATCCATGTAGAGCCCCATCAAAGTCAATGTGGCTCTGTGTGAGGACAGGGATCCATCCACACAAACCAGCTTGCAGAATCAGGGCTTCAAACGAGAGCTTTATTACACGCATAGATACTTTATGTATGTGTGGACTTGTAAGTGTGAGTCTTCTAGTGGATATACTCCAAATGGTCATAAATTTGTAAACTCAAGCCCAAAATTTTCCAAAACTAGCTAGAACAGTATACTCTGAATTTCCATGCTAAATTTGAACTTTTATAGTTCAGCTGCTTTCGTACTCTCTGCCTTCTAAAATGTGGTTTTAAGAATAGGAAGTAAGTATTATTAGGAATAGAAGAATATCCTTTTTCAGCTGTATATAAAACTCAAATACTGCTGAACAACATTTCCTCTGTTTTTTAAATTATCTTTGGAAAACTTACCTCAAAAAAGAGAATATTTTCACTAAGTTGTGAGCAAGCAAAAAAATTGCTAACATGAACTGCTGTCGGAAAACATACAAGTGTGTATATAGTGAGAGGAAGGGTTTGTAAGAAATTTTAAGTTACAAGGAAAATTATACTTAATATAGATGGATGTAACACATGCCCACGACGAAGATAACCCATCAACACAATGGAAAGATAAGACAGTTCACGTTTTCTTACCATATGGCACACGGGGATGGTTTCCATTTGCTATGCTGCTATCTGACACTCCAGCAGCTTCTGTTATTGGGCCAGTGAGGGGAATTGTGCTCTCATCAGTTGCTTTGACTCCAGGAAGCTCTTTAAAAACAGGTGTCTCCTCCTCTTGAATTTTATCAAGACTTTCATCCGATATCCTTGACAAGGCGGCTTCTTTCTTTAACTGGCCTAAGAAAATGCCAGGGTTACAATTCTAAATTGGATGGTTCGGGTTATTCAAACTTATCTATATTACTGCTGGTATTCCTAACAAAATGCCAGTATCATTAAAAATATAAACTCAAATACAGCACCTTGAGTGGTTTGGTTTCTGTTTTGTTAATTAATCTAGACATACATTCTTTCATGGGAATTTATTACTAGCATATTTATCTTAATTTGCCTCTCTGAGAACCATGAAAATGCCTTGTGCCTATCTACAAGTTCACTAGGTGATGTTATTGAAGTCCTCCAATTTACTAATGCAATCTGAAACTTTCTATTTTTTAAACTCTGCAACCCCATTCAGTGGACATCACAAGGTAGTTTTGTTTTAAGTTAAAAACCTATTGTAAAACAAAAAGCCTTGATTAGTTTAACTTTACAGTAAAATAAAAGAAATGGTTTAAATACACTGTGCAAATCCTTTTTCTTTCCTTTAACACCTATATTTTAAAACCTAAAATAGAATATATTCAAGTTCACAAGGGATTTTACACTACTTGCATTTCATCTACCAAATACTTACTTGCTATTTTTCTCTTCATCCATGGACACACAAAAATCCACACTAGAACAGCAAATACTATAGCTATACCAAATGATATTAGGACTATTATCCATAAAGGAAGTACCAGTCCTAGCACTGTGAAGAGAAAAGAAGAAGAAAGTTAAAGGTTAAATGTGCAAAAATGTCAGTTCCTTAAAATATTACAGCTTCAGAACTAAAGATAACACACTGCCTACTTCTGCTGCACCTGTAACAAAATTGAACCCCACATCTTGGTAGCCAATAAGCTCTTTCAGCAGGGCTGGAGTTCTGTTTTGATGCAGCAAGCCTGTACAAGGGAAGGGTTAAACCTTTTGAAAAGGGTCAGTTTGGCCAATTAAGACCTCAATTATGGCAAAAATGAAATTTCACGTATTTAGCAAATGCCATACACTGAGGTCAAGAACGAACTATTTCTCTATGGTTAGAAAGTTACCGTTTGAAGTGGATTTACAAACTATACTGAAAATAAATGCATCGGAACAGGAATTTCACTTGAGAATATTCAGTGCAACTCCTTTATTTACACTGACTAAAAGAATAAAGAAAAGACTCTTAAAAATGTACAGGCTTGAGTGTTACAGATTCTCAGTTGTTGTCAGCCTCAACACTTAGAGATTTGGGGGCCATACTTTCATGAGTATTTTCTTGGGTACTATTTAGGCATGTATATACCCTGAGATGCAGAAGAAAGTTGGTGTTAAGGTAGTAACACTGGCAAAGTGGGTGTTGTCTCCCCCTCTGGGGATTGTCCACTAGAGAACAGCAGCTTTTTGTTACTGTCACCAAAGGAAGTAACATCATCAGGTCATCTGCACTGCATGCAAAATGTTCTCAGTCCACAGCCTCCTGGTAACCCATGTGAGAGGGATGGTCAGGTTCACCCACGCATCCATAGGTAACCCTGACTCGTGTGGTTGCACAATGGGATATTTGAAGTCCTAAGATGGCATGCACAGGTTTTAAGACTTGGTCCTTAGGATTTCTGCAACAATACACATAAGCCCTGCTCCTACTCCCATAGAAGTCAGTGCAAAATTCCAGTCAACATCACTGGTGCTGGACCAGTCCCATAATGAGTGCGAACATCAGTATTTTAGCATACATCAAGACATATTGTCCACTACGGTAAATCTTTGCTTTGGACAATAAACCCTGATGCTCACCTCAACATCTGCTTAATAGGCCACCTGAGTGCCTTGCTCACTAAGGTTTCAATCCTGCAATCCTCAATCATGTGAGTAACTCGTACTCACATGAGTAGCCTCACTGAAGTCAACAGGGCATCTTGAGCAAGCTCAATTTGATTATGTATTTAGGAGTTGCAGGATCAGGCCCTAAAGAAAGAACGAACTTGGGCCTTGATCTTGCAAACACTTACCTTTGTGTTTATCTTGAAAACTATGGGAACACTCACATGCTTAAGTTAAGCACCTGTGTAAGAGCTTACAGAACAGGGGCCTTGGAGTCTGATTACTTATTTTGCTTTGTCTAAAACAGACCTCGCCCTTCATTTATATATTTCAGAAAGCGTGACAGGAAAGGAAGAATGTTAAGATTACTCTTTTGTTTACATTGTTTATCAAGCCACTGCAGAATGCCTGGCTGACACGCTGTGAACCGAACTAGAAAGGAACATTTCTGGTGATCCTTAAACAGCATGTGCACCAATCCAATTAAGAGAAGGTAATAGTTACAGTACTATCCATCAATATCCCCTTCAGAATCCCCAGTCCCTTCCATGTACTATTTGAGGCTTGGTCTACACTTAAAAGTTCAGTCAACATAGCTACGTTGGTCAGGACTGTGAAAAACCACACCTCTCACTATTCTGCCCTAGCCCCCTATGTAGATGCAGCTATGTGGAGGAATGAACGCTTCCATCATATGTAGCCACCATCGTTCAGGGAGATGCTGTTCCTACACTAACGGAAAAACTCCTGTCGGAGTAAGCTGCCTCTACACTACGGGCTCATGCCAACATAGCTAGGGCGACGTAGCACTGCCAGTAGTCTCGTTGTAATATAGACACACCCTCAAAGGAGCTGCCTTAATGCTACACCAGCTGTGGACAGTTTCTTATCTTGAGGGGAAAATAAAGGAAATGAATTTAGATACAATGGGCCAGACTCTCAACAATGTAGCTCCATTGGGTATGCCAGTTTACACCAGCTGAGGATCTGGGCTGCTAACTGCAGTTTTAAAAAGTCTGATCACTCTCACAACACCCAAGCAGCATTAGAGGGACTGCAGCACTGTGTCCTCGTTGGCAAAACATCCTGAAAGAATCCAAGTGGGCTGGTCCTGTGCCTCCAAGTGACAGAGAAGAGGGCAGCAATGGAGCTAAGGGTAAAAAGATAAAACCCTCTGAACAGACTGCTTGATCTTCAGATTGTCATAAATCTGTATGTTAAAAAACAAGACAACCATTAAGGTTCTGGGAGACTAACGGAGCGAGATCTACGAATCCTTTGCCTGTATTATTTGTTAACGTAAGAATTAAACATGCATTAAGTTTTTATTATTATTCAACAGTGCACATCAGGACCTGTTAGCAAATACAAAATGAATTAATACTAATGCATGGCAGAACAAAGCTTTCCTTCTGGACTTCACATGCAAGAGATTGCACTCACCTGGTGCCCCTGCGTACATGACGGAAAACACATTAATTGCTACTGTAGCAGCATAGAACGCTGGAAGTGCACGAAGACCATTGGGTACAGGGTCTTCCTGCATAATAATGAGTAAAGAGGAAAAGTCACATGGGTTTGTTTTGTACACAAGAAACAGGACTAGCAAAGGTTGAGCAAAAAAAATCACCCACCCCCACAATCAGGTGGATGAATCTTCTGGCTTTTCGCCCCCTACTTCCAATCACTGTGTTCCCTACTCTCCAGCCCAGTTACCCTGGGTAGATGCTGAGGAAAAGATTTGGGTCTGTATGATTATTCATAAAACCTACTTTCATAGCAGTGGTGCCTCCAGTCACAAATAGTATAGCAGCTTGGGGAAGGCAGCCACCATAGCAGTTCAATGGTAAGTAATTTAAATTTATTGGTAGCAGTATTGTCTTGTGGATGGCAGTATTGTCTCGTGGACTGCAGTCAGGAGACCTAGGTTCTGTTCCTGGCTTTGTCACTGACCTGTTAAATGGCCTTGGGGAGGTCACTTCATCTCTCTGTGTCTCTATTTACCCTCCCATCCATTTATGTGTCTTGTCTATTTAGACTCTAAGCTCTTTGGGCCAAGGACTCTCTCTCACTATGTGTTTGTACAGAACCTAGCTCAATGGGGCCCTGATCTTGGTAGGGCTCTAGGTATTACTGGTATCACTGCAGTGACTTATTCAGTGATTTCTAAAAACATATTTCTAGCCTCTCTGTTTAAAACCAAGTGTACACTGAATGTTATCATCTGCTGACAAAGGTTTCTGCATGTGCTAAACAGGTAACTGTATTAAATCGGAGTAGCATATTAACAGTCACATGTATAAATGTAGCAGATGAGTGTAACAGTGAAAATTCAAATAAATCCTTGTGTGCCTCACAAGTAATGCTGTTCACTGTAAAGAGCGGCTATTTATCCTACTGTTACAGTTCTTTGAGATGTTGTAGTCATGGGGGTCTCACTGTAGTTTTGCATGTATCTTACATGCACAAGACCAGAGTTTTTTCGAATAGCAGGATCTGTTGGGGCTGTGCATGTACACTGTGCCTCCTCATGCCAGGGCATAAAGGGTAGGTCGGCCAAGACTCTCCCTCTCCCTTTAGCAAAGCTTTTGATATGATCTCCCACCGTATTCTTGCCAGCAAGTTAAAAAAGTATGGATTGGATGAATAGGACTATAATGTGGAGAGAAACCTGGCTAGATCGTCGGGCTCAACGGGTAGCGATCAATGGCTCGATGTCTAGTTGGTAGCCGGTATCAAGCGGAGTGCTCCATGGGTCAGTCCTGGTGCCGGTTTTGTTCAACATCTTTATTAATGATCTGGATGATGGGATGGGTTGCACCCTCAGCAAGTTCGCAGATGACACTAAGCTGGGGGGAGCGGTAGATATGCTGGAGGGTAGGGATAGGGGCCAGAGTGACCTAGACAAATTAGAGGATTGGGCCAAAAGAAATCTGATGAGGTTCAACAAGGACAAGTGCAGAGTCCTGCACTTAGGATGCAAGAATCCCATGCACCACTACAGACTAGGGACCAACTGGCTAAGCAGCAGTTCTGTAGAAAAGGACCTGGGGATTACAGTGGATGAAAAGCTGGATATGAGTCAACAGTGTGCCCTTGTTGCCAAGAAGGCTAACGGAATATTGGGCTGCATTAGTAGGAGCATTGCCAGCCGATCAAGGGAAGTGATTATTCCCCTCTATTCGGCACTGGTGAGGCCACATCTGGAGTATTGCATCCAGTTTTGGGGCCCCCACTACAGAAGGGATGTGGACAAATTGGGGAGAGTCCAGCCGAGGGCAACGAAAATGATAAGGGGGCTGGGGCACATGACTTACCAGGAGAGGCTGAGGGAACTGGGGTTATTTAGTCTGCAGAAGAGAAGAGTGAGGAGGGATTTGATAGCAGCCTTCAACTACCTGAAAGGGGGTTCCAAAGAGGATGGAGCTTGGCTGTTCTCAGCGGTGGCAGATGATTGAACAAGGAGCAATGGTCTCAAGTTGCAGTGGGGGAGGTCTAGGTTGGATATCAGGAAACACTATTTCACTAGGAGGGTGGTGAAGCACTGGAATGGCTTCCCTAGAGATGGTGGAATCTCCATCCTTAGAGGTTTTTAAGGCCCGGCTTGACAAAGCCCTGGCTGGGATGACATAGTTGGGGGTTGGTCCTGCTTTGAGCAGGGGGTTGGACTAGATGACCTCCTGAGGTCCCTTCCAACCCTGATTTTCTATGATTCTCTGTTCCCTCACGGTTCCTTTGGCAGCTGAGGATGAGTCACAGGTTCCACGCTGACCACAACATCTCAAAGATCCAGAGTTACTCTAGGGCAAGTAACCATTCTCTCTTCTTCGAGTACGTGTCATTGTAGATCCCAGTACAGGTGACTGGCAAGCAGCATCTACACTGGATGGTAGGAGTGAGGCGTTCCAGCTGCATCAGTCAAACAGTGGTAGCAGTACTGCTCTCCTGAGCTTGGCACCTGACCTGGCTGTCCTGTCAAAGGCATAATGTTTAAAAGGAGTCAGTGGCTTGCCTGCAGCCTTGCAGATCTCAGAGACTGGAATGTTCCTGTAGCAGGCAGAAGAGGCTGCCTGTGGCCTGGTAGAGTGTGCACTGATGTTCAGAAGGAGAGACTCGCCAGCCATCTGACAGAAGGTAGAAACACACATTGTGATCCATTTGGAGGTTGTCTATCACTAGATGGTTTGGCCTTTTGATGGGTGCCATAAATGGCCACAAATAGGGAGAGAGACAGCCAGAAAGCGTTGGGCCTATTAAGAAAATAGAGCAAAGTTCTGGACATATCCAAAGTGGGAGGAGTGGTAGATACGCTGGAGGGGAGGGATAGGATACAGAAGGACCTAGACAAATTGGAGGATTGGGCCAAAAGAAATCTGATGAGGTTCAATAAGGATAAGTGCAGGGTCCTGCACTTAGGACGGAAGAACCCAATGCACCGCTACAGACTAGGGACCGAATGGCTAGGCAGCAGTTCTGCGGAAAAGGACCTAGGGGTGACAGTGGACGAGAAGCTGGATATGAGTCAGCAGTGTGCCCTTGTTACCAAGAAGGCCAATGGCATTTTGGGATGTATAAGTAGGGGCATAGCGAGCAGATCGAGGGACGTGATCGTTCCCCTCTATTCGACATTGGTGAGGCCTCATCTGGAGTACTGTGTCCAGTTTTGGGCCCCACACTTCAAGAAGGATGTGGATAAATTGGAGAGAGTCCAGCAAAGGGCAACAAAAATGATTAGGGGTCTGGAACACATGAGTTATGAGGAGAGGCTGAGGGAGCTGGGATTGTTTAGTCTGCAGAAGATAAGAATGAGGGGGGATTTGATAGCTGCTTTCAACTACCTGAAAGGGGGTTCCAAAGAGGATGGCTCTAGACTGTTCTCAATTGTAGCAGATGACAGAACGAGGAGTAATGGTCTCAAGTTGCAGTGGGGGAGGTTTAGATTGGATATTAGGAAAAACTTTTTCACTAAGAGGGTGGTGAAACACTGGATTGCGTTACCTAGGGAGGTGGTAGAATCTCCTTCCTTAGAGGTTTTTAAGGTCAGGCTTGACAAAGCCCTGGCTGGGATGATTTAACTGGGAATTGGTCCTGCTTCGAGCAGGGGGTTGGACTAGATGACCTTCTGGGGTCCCTTCCAACCCTGATATTCTATGATTCTAAGTATGCAGCTTCTTGTCTACTAGAGTCTCGTGCAGGATCACAAGTCTTAATGAGCGTAGAGCACTATCTGCTGGCTAAACAGTTCTGCGAGTCCTCAATTGTGGCCTATACCTCCCAGTACCTGGAGCCAGAGTGTTCCATGCACTGTTATTACAGCGGCCACAGACCTGGCCATTTGTGTCGAAGACATCCATCACTGTTTGCAAGGCCACTTTGATCACCAGTTGACCTTCTCAATACATGGATGGTGGACCCCAGTAACCCGAACAGGGCAGTGGCAGCATACTAGATGAATAGGCTGGCTCTTAGGACTGGCATTGGACTGGTCAGTACCCAGACAAGGTTGGTGGCAGCTGAGCCTTGTAAGTGAAGCTGGCAGGTCTTTCCATGGCGGTGACCACTGAAGGATAGGCACAAACGTCTGCTCAATGTATGTGACTCTCCTAGGCAGAAGAAACACTGTGTACATCTTTCTGTGGAATTAGACCGTTGCAGGATGGACAGGGTTTGAAGCCCGCCGGTTTTGAGTCCACCATGCTAAGTAACCTTGTATGGAAGATGGGGGGAAATGTAATGTGGGGGTGCGAAGGAAGGGGGCCTAACCAATAATACTCAGTCCAGATGAGTTGATCTAGATCATGGCAGTTGTATGTGTAAGAATCAGAAGAGTTCTGACTGCTTGTAGAAGGTTTAGCCAAAGCTTAGAATTAGCGGCTTGGATGCTCACCAGGTTCTCTCTCACTGCCAAATGCGAGGGAACTGAGCGGAGGGTCGTGACCATCCCATCCGTTTTACCCTCATATGGGAGCACGAGGAGGCATGCACAGCCCGGACAGACACTGCTATACAAACACACTCTGGCCTCACACATGAGGCACCTGTCACCGAACGGTGGGATCCAGGCTGACATGCATTTTAATCCCAAAGTTCTCCTCATCCCACACAAATGTGGCATCTCCCAACTTTTATTGTTGACATTTATTTATATTAGAAATAAAGGATGAAGAAGCTGAGGTTACTGAAGAGTTACTTGTGCCAAAGGAATTAATGCTGCATCTATTTAAATTTCCTGAATGGTTTTTGTTCTCCTCGTTTTGGGTCTGTGTGACATTGCATCCCACATTTGGGCCACAGCAGATTAGAAGATCTGAGGGAGGCAGAAAATGATAAATAAAGGAGCAACTGACTTCAAGCACTGCTGTCTTGCAAACAAATGCAGACAGAGCTTGTAAATTCCATAATGTGGAACTATTTGGTTTATTGCTTCCGGGATGCTGCTGCCCTCACCTCAACTGAAGCCACTGAAACCCAGCTGCCACTGATTGAGGCTTCCTGAGTACCCAGGATAACATACATCTTTTTTTTGACTTCTGGTGTATCAGAAAACCAGAGCTTAGAATTTCACACCTGTTAAACTCTGTTTTGTTACTTGGCACTAGCTAATTCACTGCTTTTAAATAAAGGCTATGCTAGTGCTGTCCTGGTTAAGCAGCATTCATTATAATTTATCATCATTGTGCAAAGCCATTTTCAAGGAGATATGCTGATAAAGCAGCCATCCCAGTACATCATGTCCCAGTGAAGCAGTGTATACTAAAATTAATGCTTTAGATTTACATAGCACCCTTTTAACTCCTTGGAAATGTCAACAACCAAATGGTGCATAGCCAGCAGTACAGCAGTCATGACCTCCATGCATTGGAGTGGAGAGTTGCTAGCCCCTTACCTTCTTTAAAATTAAGAATCTAATCAGCAGAAACAGCAGTCCAGACATCAAACCAGATAACAGTGGGGAAATAAACCAAGAGGCAACTGAGGAAAAAAAGATATAACAAACAATAAGTGGTAACATCCCATGTAACTGAGGAAGTTCTGTATTTATCAAACAGGAAAATAACCAATGGACAATGTTTATGTTGATTCTTCTCGCACAGCTGGCATTGTGATTATATAGCTTGGGTGCTCTCCTAGGATTTCCAAAAGCTTTCAGCACTGGCTTACGTCAGTTCCCACTGAAGTTGATGGGAGTTTTACTAATGCTAAGCACTTCTGAAAATCTCACGCAGGGGATTTCCAGAATAACACTGGAATTATAGAAACTGCACCACTCACAAGAATTTCCATTGCTGAATGCTATCGGAATAAGAATCCTGATCTTTGGTTAATCTTTATAGCCCTGAATCCTGAAAGCTGCTCTGGGTGAGCAGACCCCTGTTCCAGTTTGGAGCTCCACTGAATTCACTGGGACTCAGTGCAGGCACAGGGATCTGCCTGTTAGGGGCAACTCACAGGGTCAGGGTCAGGGCCAACATTTATTGCAACAAGTTACAGAATATACTGTGTGATCTGAGTTCTGTCTATGTTTTGACAAGGCAAATAATTTTTTTACAATTGTCAAAAGTGCTCAGAGCTGACCTGGCTCTTCTCCCACTGCAGTCAGGGGTAAAACTCCCACTGCTTTCCCTGGGAGCAGAGTTAAGCCAGTGCTGAATACTTCTGAAAATCCCACCCAAGAGTGCTTACGGTTTGAGATATGTGGTTTTAAGAACAGACTTCTCAGTGTAAAAGTTTTGTGCACACTGATGTTTCACGCTTGCCTTTTGGCTATTTTACCTTCAACAAAAATATAAGAACCGAATTGTTTAAAAATTGTAGTTTCAATTAGTCAAATGCCCCTGTGGTTCACTAGTACCGTCTCCCTAAAAACAAACATAGGGCTAGAGTGTGACTTGGACTAAGTGCCCATGCAGAGTAGTAAGAACCCCCTTAAACTCCTACAGGGGCTACCCTAGATCTTGGGACCAGGGGCTCAAGCGTAGGTGGGTGCTGCATGAATGCTTACTCCCTCCTTGGAGCAAGGGGGGGGGGAGGGGATGAGGGGCACCGTGGCTCCACCCCTCATTTGCTGGCCAGTGCAGCTGAGCCTTGTGTGTGTGAGGAGAGAAGAGAAGGGAGATGTCAAAAGTTGCTGCTGGTATCAGCCACCACCAAAAGTACTACCGCTTGGGAGTTAGCAGGGGAGGAACCGTCAGCCCAGGGAGTGCCCCTGAGGAACAAAGTCTCCAAGAGCTACTTCTGGGGTGATGCAGTTTACACACCACCCCTTGCTCTGGACTGTGCCTCAAGTCATTCTCTAGCCCTTAGTGAACATGACACACACATTCCTTCTGAACAACAGGATTTGAGGGGGATAGAAGTTAAATACAGCACATTACAATCATGAAAGAGTATTTCTGTATGCAGTCAGTGCATGATTTTCCACATACCCTCACGCATAAAAGGAAATGTCAATTACCAATCTTGACAAGCTGCATCCACTGAACACCCTGCGTACCGATTGCAACAAGTGAGAATCCAATGGTAGCACCTACTATGCAGTGGGTCCCAGATACTGGGAGTTTCAAGAAAGAGGCAATCAGCTGCCAAACAGCAGAACCTAGAAGTTGAAGGTGGGGGGAAAATATCAGATATAAACAATGATAATAGCACCAACAATAACAACAGTGTACTGCATGGCTCTCTCCACCACATGCTCACATTCCTCTCGCAAGGCTGCCTACTCCCTGCACCCACAATAGAAACTTGAACAAAACATTCTTTATGATGTTCCGTCAGCCTCTAGAAGGACACATTGACATAGCTTACCTCTGAACTTCACATCTCCTTGAGATTCTGTCTTACAAACAGCACTTCCTGACCACTCCAATATTTACGGACCAGGTTTATCTTTAGTTCAAGTTTGTCCTGTTGTCTAGTTCAGGCTAACGGGACATTGGGGTGGCACAGAAGTGTTTTACTACAGTTGTGCTGCTTTTGGGTATCTTTTAACCTTTATGACCCATTTGATCAGTTTGTGCATAGAGTCAGAGCTAACAAGCATAAGAGTGGTTGCTGGGGGAAAAAACCTCACTTTCGGTAACGACTGCGGATACCCTCAAGCATACAAGACAAACATAAGAACGGCCAAATTGGGTCAGACCAAAGGTCCATCTAGCCCAGTATCCTGTCTTCTGACAGTGGCCAATGCCAGGTGCTCCAGGGGGAATGAACAGAACAGGTCATCATCAAGTGATCCATCCCTTGTCGCCCATTCCCAGCTTCTGGCAAACAGAGGCTAGGGACACCATCCCTGCCCATCCTGGCTAATAGCCGTTGTTGGACCTATCCTCCATGAACGTATCTAGTTCTTTTTTTAACCCTTTTATAGTCTTGGCCTTCACAACATCCTCTGGCAAAGAATTCCACAGGTTGACTGTGCGTTGTGTGGAAAAAATACTTCCGTTTGGTTGTTTTAAACCTGCTGCCTATTAATTTCATTTGGTGACCCCTAGTTCTTGTGTTAAGAGAAGGAGTAAATAACACTTCCTTATTTACTTTCTCCACACCAGTCATGATTTTATAGACCTCCATCATATCCCCCCTTAATTGTCTCTTTTCCAAGCTGAAAAGTCCCAGTGTTATTAATCTCTCCTCATACGGAAGCTGTTCCATACCCCTGTGAGACATGAATATCCCAGCATACCCCAAAAGAGACATGAAAGGTTTGACCAATAAGCTGTGGAGGTTCTTGGTCTCAAATGTTGTTGGAGCAAGCCCAGTTACTTGGCAGCAGAACACTGTGGTGCATTTTGGGTGCTTTGCAAAGGTGAGTACTGGAGGGTGCAATGCCCTTTCAACAACACTGACTACCAGGGGGGCATGAAGCAACACAGAGAAGCTCCAAAGTGGCTGAGTATCCCAGCGTAGGTCGGAACACACAATGCTCTTGCTGGGTGACGAGTGGTAAGGTAAGGAAAAGAAAAATCAGAGAAGGAACTAGATTCACAATTAAGGGACAGACACAGTTTGAGCAAAAAACTGGAGCAGTGCATCAAGAGAACACTAATGCTAGTTTGTCAAGCTCAAGGTCTTAACATCCAGGCAAATATTCCAGTGCCATTGCTCTCCGGACTGGGAACTCGGCATGGTCCATTCAAAGGCAATGAGTACACCCCATTCATTTGGGCACATTGTTCAATTCGCCAGGAAGCTTTGGTGGCAGAGACGACGTCAGTGGAACTGAAAAAAGGTAGTTGAGGTTGGAAAAGTTGTGAACTTTAACAAAGCTAAGCCCACCAGTACACCCCTCTTTGCTATTTTATGTGAAGAAAAGGGCATTCAACAATGGCTGCTCCTCTTCTACACGGACATTCGTTGGCTTTCACATGGCAAAGTTCAGAATTGCTGGATATTGCTCAGAGAAGACCCAAGATTATTCTTGCTGAATGTGGCTGAATACCTCGCTGAATACCTTACTGACCAGCACTGTTTTTTTCTGAATGCTTCTGTCCACGGGCAAAGGGTGACATTGGTTCTCAACCTGGGGGACAGAAGGCATCGGAGAGAGTGGCCACCATACCCTTTGCATATTGCTAAATGGGCAGAGGGTCTGAGGGCAGTTCAGGTATGGGAAAGGTTGAGAACCACTGCAACAGAGAATTAGAGAAAGAAGGCAGTGGGAAGAGAATGCATATTCAAGAGAAAAGGAAGAAAGATAAAGAGACAGATGGGGCTGAGGGAGAGGATTTTTAGGTTTTAGAAAACCAGAGCATGCCAAGAGAGATGATAGAGGGTGGGAATGAGAAAAGGAGTAAGAATAGGGTCAAGAGGACACATCAGCAGGTTATACCGTGACAGTAGGAGACACCCCAGAGTTCAAGACTGGGATTAGAGGAGAAAGAATACTAGGCAGGGACCACTGCATAGTGGCCTTGCAGGATGCCTCCCCCCAAATCTCCACCCTGACTGAATTCCTTATGCATCTAGGATGCCACTGGTGGATCAAAGTGCAGTCTTTCAGTCCTGCCACAGCATCCTGTCTCTTTCACAAGGCAATGGTGGCCTAGGCTGCATCACTCCAGGAGTCTCTGTTGAGTCAAAATCAGAGCAAGCCACAATCTGTGCAGAAAATAAAGTTCAGCTCTTTCTGGAGGTAAATGGTGAGATGTGTCTATTTTATAATCTCACAGGTTTGACACATGGGGTCAGGCAGATTGCTTCTCTCGAAGCCATAATTATTGAAGCTAAAGCATCAGGTTGCTTGGCCTGATGCAGGCAATTGAGGTCACAAGCTGGGCATATCTCCAAATGCTGGACTCAACAGTCTCTTTATGGCTACAATCCCTTTGGCTCACTTTCTCACAAGTCCTGCTAACTTTGGCTTTTCAGGCCCTGAACATCTTGAGCCAGATTTTATACCCAGAACTGAATTTGTGTTTTCTCTGGTGGCTATAGGATGAAATAAATCTTCCCTAAGTGGGTGGTTGTCTCTTGGACCGGGCAGCTCACCCTAGTCAAAGTGGTCAAGGGTTTCATCTTAGGTGTCTGATAGTAACAGGCCTACCGCTCAACAGCATAGAGACCAGGGTGCCTTGCTGTGCCCTTTGCTACTTGTCACTTGCAGGAGCTGGGGAACCTCTTAGGCAAGCCATACGGACAAACAGGAAGTTCCCTGATTTTTTTCTGGCAGATCAAGGAACTTCTGGTCCCAGGATGGATGCTCTGTCACCTGTGGAAAGCAGAGGTCCTTTGCCTTCCCGCTAACAGGCAAGGTCCTTCAGATCAAAGTGAGGACAGAGTCCAGACTGGCCCAGGTAGAGGATTGAAGTGGCCTGAATTGTCTCTGTGATGGGTGAGGGTTGGCGCATTGACAGAAGTTCATAGGGCTCTGACACGGGCTGCACTAGAGGCCGGAACTCTGCATCCGGACCAAATCTTTCTGTGCCCGGGAGCACCAGCCACAGCACCCCGGCTGCCGTGAGAGATCCCACCTCTCCCAACACACTGCAGCCAGTACGGAGTGCTTTGCAGAGACCCTCAATGACTGGGGAAGGTCTCTTAGCATGTATTGTTACCCAGAATCCCTGTCCCCCCTCTGCTCCGTGTAGCAGGGAAACTCTGGAGGCCTTGGCATGGAGCCACCTGGGAGTTGGGGGCTGTGACAGAAGCAGACAGGAAGCTGCTGCCCCTCTCTCACTGCCTCCTGCCTCAGTCTCTTGTTGGAGCTCAGCACCACTGTTGCATGGCAACACGGCTGCAACTGTGTAGAGAAGCCAGTGTTTGAAGGAGTCCTCTGCTTCCAGGGCGACAGTGCCAGATGCTCTGGAGGGGAAGCTGCCCTGCTGAGCTTGGCAGAGGGCAGCTGGGCGTGTACTGATGCGTCCCAGTCCTGGCACTCTGGGAAAATGCATATTGGCTGATTCAAATTTCCTGCTCTGAATATTTACAGGAGCCTCTCTAGGATACCTCACAAGAGGGCTCTCGGGCCTTCAGAGTTCACGGGGTAACGTGCTGAAAAGATTATGCACCAGACGAGCCACCTGAAGTGCTGAAACAGAGCACTGTGAGGAAGTTCTGGAGCACCAGGACCAGTGACTTGATGGACGAGAGCGAGGAGAGAGAGGGAAGATGTGACGTGGCAGAGAAAACATTAGTGGATTGAAAGCTACAGAAGGGCTGGGTGGAGCAGCAACGGATAAGGGACAGGTCGGTGATGCTGAGGAGACAAGGTGATGACCAGAATCAGAAGACCAGAGGGAGCAGTGCTTTGTGAAGACTGTTTTGGCAAGTAGACGAGTTGATCTAGGCTTCAAGATCAAACAAGGCAGAAAGAGCAATAAGGTGGGCAGCCAGTGGCAGACAAAGGCGATCAACATTGAAGTGGAAGGCAAGGGGAGACAAGTGGAAGGATTGTGAGGAGAGAGAGAGCGACAGGAGTCACAAAGGAAGGTGGATGGAGGGGCTGCGTGGTCAGCAGATAATAGTAACAGAGTGGGAAGGGAGAGAAATCAGACTGAGCGTTGTTCAAAAAGAGGAAGGGAGGGGCTGGAAGTGACAGGAGCAGGAGAAGAGAAGCCCAGTAATCCTAATGTGATTTCTGGGAATGACTCCGAATGGGGGACCTAAACCATACAAGCCCTTCTGAGGATGGGGACTGGAATTTTATGATACCAATGCCCATTGCTAGGACAACTATCACCTGAGTAAGCACCAGCTCTTCAATATGACCTTTATTGGGAAACTCTGGCTGAGTCTGACCAATCTGACACATTTAACTCTGATCAACGAACATGATGGCAGAACCCAAGGTACACTTATGAAAATGCTTTAGACAGGTTTGAACAAGAATTTATCATTTTAAATCAGCTATTTCATGATCAAATTTCCCTCTTACAGAGATCGAGCTATTCAATCTTGGCACTGCATATAGCTCAATATGGAAGTCAACTAGTAAAACTAATCTCTCCCGGAACTCTGTCCCAAAACAACTGGCACTTCTACCCCTATTGGAAACCCTAGCTGAAACAAGGAGCACCTGCTCTGTAATTTATAGGTTTCTGTTGTCCTACTCTAAAATTAGAATAGATGAACTTATAAACTTTTGAGGCCAGCACGTGGGATGTGCTGTGAATGAGAAGACGTGGTAGAGTCTGTAAAAAGATCAGATAGGTCAACCAGATATAAAATTGTAAAATTATGTAGCAATTTTTTTTAATAAATAGAATATACTTGGTTCCCTCCCTGATAGGTCACAAAAACATGTGCAACAAAACCAAAGCTGTGCTGGAATTGTGGCAAGATTGCTCATGAATACACAAGGTGTGACACTATCCCTTATTTTATCATCCCCAGCCAGCAGAAGGTAGGAGAGCTAGAGAGAAAGTAATTGGGGCACTATTAGATGGTAAGACCCAAGGAAGAAAGGTGACCTAGAGATACTTAAGGCAGGAGATTGGGGACCAGAGGGAAATACAATTTGGGTGAGGGCAGAATTAGCTTTTGGAGCCTGCAAAGCCCAAAGTCATAGAGGCCACCGATTGTCTGGACCTGTGCAGCTCAAATGTTGGTCTCTCTCACCAACAGAAGTTGGTCCAGTAAAAGATATTACCTCACTCACCTTGTCTCTTTTAGATCCTGGGATCAACACAGCTATAACACCACTACAAACATTCTCCATCTTTGTCATTATTGTATAAAGACCACAGGCTTTGCACTGCTCCCACTATGACCACCTAGGGCTGGCATTTGAGACTTGTGAAGTCCATGACTTTTGATTTTGGGGGGACCTCAGACCAATCTGCAACTGTGGGTAAATGCTATGAGCATGACTGCTGCAAGTTCCCCCTCTTAGCCAGCTGCCTATCTCGCTCCTGTGCTGTGCACATGGCAGTAGGGCATCCCACAGTGCAAGAGGCAGCTGGGAAGAGTGGACCAAGCACAGGACTGAGAGCAAGGGACTCCAGGCTTTCTAATCCCAGCTGTGACATTGTCTTCCTCTGCTGCCTTAGTCAGGTCACCTAAGCTGTCTGCCTGAGTTTCCTATCAATAACACTGGGGTAATAGTTGTGACAATTGGTTGATGCTATACAAGTGGTAAAATTCACCAAAATGCCCCCCAAATCCTACTGGCCCCCAAAGCTCCAGCTTACTGGGAAACCAATTCAATGAAACACTGTAAATGCTGGGAACGATGCAGAGTCCAAGGCTAAGTAGCAGAGCCCCACTGCTGCTCTATCAAGTTACGTTTAGGTGTGCCCTGAAGAATCATTTCATTGACCCTCCTCAAATTACTAAAGCAGACCCTGTGCACAACAGTGTGACCACGGTGGGTAAGAGTCCATTCCATGTAGAGAGAAAATTTGTTTCCCAAGCTTGCCCAAAGAAAAGGGAGAAAAAGAAAAGGAGAAAAACAACCTGGTTAAAAGGAAGAGAGAAAAACACAAAGGAAAAAAAGCAATTGGTATGGATAAGAAAGGAAGGAAATCTGGAGAGGAAATCAAGGCAAATAAAAAGAGCATTTGCGGTTAGTGAACTTTATTTCATTAACTCAGAGATTTAAAATGTGGAATTTATTTTTTAAAGCCATCACTGGAGGACAGGAATGCAACAAGTCACAAAATTCAGACTGGCTTATATAAATGTCTTTGCAAATGAGCTTTGTTCTTTGAGCTTCTGGCCAGATGCCTTTGCAGGCAGTATTCAATGCTTACCAATCTGGCCACCTTTGCCTAGACTAGGGGTTTCCAGGACTGGGGTATCAAATAGATACAAATGAGGAAAATGGAGCCTTCCTGCTAAAGGAGATCATGTTTATTAAGAATGTACTGTCAGAAGACATGTGTCACTTAAACTTCAATGCAGGGTATGCTGCACCGGAGCAAGTGCAGTTTAAATTTATGCAGCTACGTCTGTGCTAAAAGGCCCCCGTGTTGGCAAGTCGAAGTATACAGTGTAGTGGTACTAGCAAACCTAGAAAAAGGCACTATCCTAGATCTAGAGAGACCTAGTGTCTGAGGATTTACCAGACAATAAGTCAGGCACTGGGCCAGAGATATTATTGTACTCTTCTTCCCAGAATTTGGCATTATCTCCACAAGTAGTAGTCATGGTAAGGGGCGGGGGCGGGGGGGATGATATCCCAAGTGACTGACTCCTATCCCTCTTGGCTAGTGAAAGAAAGCAAAGATCTTCTGGGAGCCCATGCCATCTCCCCTTTTGAAGAGGTATCCTGATTCCCCACCCCAGAGCACACAACCTCCTAGCAGTATTAGAGAAACCAGCACTCGATGCTCAGACTGAAGCACCCCACAAAGTGTTTTCTGGAGGAAAAGACAGAGAACAACAGCTGTGTGTGTTAGGCTTTGTGCAGCAGATACTTTGCTGACAAGCACTGTGTGCAAACTGTGGGGAGATTAGAGGAATTAGACAGAAATGCATGGGTGGGTATAGAAGGGAAGGATGATAAGGTGCAGAAGATTCTGAGGGGAGGAACTCCTGCGTGTGCTAGGTGGGGTGAAAACTTTCATTTAAAAATAAGATGATATTCCCACATAATCAGATGACTTCAGCAGCTGGGGCTTTAAGGAACACATTGCAAGACTGTACAGTGGTTGTAGAGAGAATGTAGGGTAAGATTGGGGTGACCACACAGACTCCATTTTAATTGTTTTTATACATTGAAAATTGTCTCTTCTGGCTCTCCCTAACCTTTTTAAAATGTGGTTGCATCTGTGCTTATTGCTGTCCCTTCCTATCACGTCTCCAAAGTTCACAGCACTTCTTGTATAGAAACAAAGAACATGGTCTGGGACTAATTTCATTTCCCTCTGAACGCAGTATTTGATCTAACCAAGGCTTAGATTAAAAGCAAACAAAAGCTATGTCAGTAGACAGAAAAAACAAACACGTCTTTTAGTTTTATGAGGGACTATGAATCAGAAGGATTAAAATTACATGAAGTTGGTCACTCCCTAATCTATTATTCCTTTTAATGTTGTTATGGCCCTAGAACAAGTATACAGTAATTATAATCAGTCATGTGGTCAGTGAAGAGTCTAAGTGAATATTTTAATTTTCTAGTAAAATTAACAGTTTGACTAAATCCTCAGAATAGGTATTCACTATAAACTGCCATTTCCTCAAGATTTTTTGTATAAATAAAGACACATAAATGGTGTCTTATCCTATTAATACATTTTCCAAATTAAAAGTCACTTATTCAGTGCCTCTTTAGACCATTTCATAGAATCATAGACTATCCGGGTTGGAAGGGACCACAGGAGGTCATCTAGTCCAACCCCCTGCTCAAAGCAGGGCCAATCCCCAATTTTTTCCCCAGATCCCTAAATGGCCCCCTCAAGGATTGAACTCACAACCCTGGGTTTAGCAGGCCAATGCTCAAACCACTGTGCTGTATCTCCCCCCAATGGTTTATTCAAATCATTTTACAAAACAAGCGTTCTTTTTAAAAAATGAAAAGTTATGAACATTAAAGAAAAGACAGTGATTAGAATCTAAGTGATAAAAAAAGCAAGAGACTCATAAAAGTAGTCCAGGTCTCCTTTTAAAAGAGAAAGAAAAACCAGACATGTAAGTACTGAAAGTTGGAGTGTCTAAACGGCATAGAAAAATGCATGATGAACAGGATTATAACTAGATGCCTATAGTTACTCAAAAATTAAAGACGTTTACTTACCAACCATTGCACTAACTTCTCCTGCCATCAGCAGATCCACAGTACTGTTGTACAGATTAACATCAATGATACCTTTCCGAATTGTTTCTCCTACTTTTGCTCCCAGTAATACTGAGCCAGCGGTTTCAAAAATTGAAGCCAAAATGCAGGCCTGGCGCAAAGTGACCACACCAGAGCCCACAGCAGTCCCAAAAGAATTGGCAACGTCATTTGCACCAACTGAAAATGCCAAAATAAAAGCGACGATAAAACCCACAATGACCATCCATAGGTACTCTTCCATTGCCATTTTTCCCAGTGTGTGCTTGTAGGTAAATGCTTCCCCTTTGCAAATATTTAAATAGACAAAGTTGGAGAGTATTGTAACAGATTTGTAAAGCAGATTTCTTGAAAACAATTAGTTCTCTCTGGAAAGTGCTGGGAAGTGAACAAACTGCTAACTGCTGATTTTTAAACTACTGTCAATACTGTTCATTTGGCTGTGTTCAGTCAGCAGTGAAACACATTCCATATTTTGCATCACAACTGGCACAACTGCAGCGTCCTCTCCTGTAACAGAAGAAAGATTGAAAAAGTGAAGCAGTCTGTCTGCAAAGCTTGTAACAGTATGTCCTTTCAGAAGTAAAGAAATTATTTAAATCCACTAATGGGATCTATTTTTGGCACGTGACAGTGCTAACCATAAAGCAATTCAGACAAGATTAAAACTAGGTCAACTCAAAAGCAATACAAGTTTTTAGCGTTATCAGTGACTGAAATATGTACTAGGTCACTTTGAGAGGATATATTTGTAAAGTTTGTTTGTTTGTTTTTAAATTCTAAGCAAACAGTGTGACTGGTCCTCTCTGAAAAACAAGATGACTTTTTTTTTCTTGTAGTAAGTGAATAGCTTAAAAAGAACCAGATCCTCAGCTGATGTAAGTTGGCCTTCCCCCATTGACTTCAATGGAACTATGTGAATTTACACCAGTTGCAGGTGAGGACCTGGCCCTTAATTTTGAAAACATTTATTCATTAAACATCACATGAGAAGGCACCCAGATGTCTCCAAATGTTTATCTATTGCTGCTTTTGGGTAGTGGGAATACTTTTAGCCTTATGGCCTTCCAATCACTGGAACATACTGTGATTTTTCACAATGTTTATTTCAGTGTACCTACATGCATCTGTGTGTGTCCAGGTCACAGAACAGAAATTTAACAAAAAAGTTAAAACAGTAAATGTAAGGTTCTTTTCCTCCTAGAGAAAACTGGTTAGTTCATTGAACGGTATGATGCACTACTGGATTTATTATACTCAAATATACATTTTTCAATGGTTCTTGTGTAGCTTTCAGAGAGAGTTCTGACATCCTTTGGCAAAGTTTTATCTTGTGCTACTTCTTCAGATTTTCCGAACAAAGAATGTACAGAAAAGAATGGATTTCAGGAGAGAGAAAAAGCCTGGTTTATTTCTTCACACATACACAATTACGCAAACCTCATCTCAGTCCTCTTGAGCCCTTAAACTTTGATATTGTCTCAACAGGAGCCAATATATGTATTTTTACAAACAAACATTTTTTTAAAAGCTTGATCATTGTCTATGTAAGCCCCCAGATTTTTCTCCTCTCGAATTATCATTGTGAAGGGGAGATGAAGACAAGGAGCCAGGCAAAAAGAAAAATTACCTACCTACCTTCCAATAACTGGAGCTTTCTGAGATGTGTGGTCCCTATGGGCATTCCATTGAGAATTTGCATGCATTTCATGCACCTGAAACTGGAAGACTTTTACTATCGTCGTCTGTTGATCCATGCCTGCACCCTGAGTCTTCTCATGCTCCGAAGCAAGGGCGTAAGGGGCGGTGTGGATCGATTGCCTCTCCACTTCCTACTCTACTGCAAATACCTAGTAAAGGATCTGAAGTAGGCTAGGTAGTGGAATACTCGTAGGGACCAAACGTCTTAAAGAACTCTAATTATCGTAAGGTAAGTCATCTTCCTTCCTTCTTCAAGTTGTGATCCCTATGGGTATTTGCTTTGGGCGTCTCGTTGAGGAACCATGCTGCACTGCAGACTACAGGACCATTGTACTGAAGGATGTGTCTGCTGAAGACAGTTGTATTAGGGCATCATATCAAGTAAAGTTACGCACAGAGCCCCATGTTGCCACGCTACAGATCTTCAGGAGGAGGACACCCTAAAGAGAAGCCACCAAGGTAGCCAGGCCTCTGGTTGAGTGGGGCCTTACACTCCACCAGTCTCCACCAGCTCACAGCAAAGCAGAATTCAATCTGAGATCCATTTAGAAAGTCTCTGTGAGATTGCTTCACCTTTCATCTGCTCAGCAGTGGTAATAAAGAGTCTCAGAGATTTCCTGAAGGCTCTGGCCCTTTGCTGCTGGAAAGCAAAAGCTCGATGGATATCCAGAGAATGGAGCTTCTGTTTTCTATGGTGGTATATGCGTTGGGGTAGAAAACAGGTAGGTGCATACCCGATTTATATGAAATTCAGAGGGGACCGCTGGAATGAACTTGGGGTGTAACACCCACACTTCATCTTAGTGCTTGCCTACATTTGGAAATTTACCAAAATACCTGTTTGGGAGGTAAAGTGTGTCTACACAGGGGCTTATACTAAAATAACTATGCTGTAATAGCTATTTTGGTAAATTTTCAACTATAGACAGAAAAAACCCTTAGCGAAAATCTCGTGAGAAATTTAGAGCATAAATTTGCCAGTTTTTTACTCTTCTAGACAAACAAATTGCTACCAAAGAGAGAAATCTGAGGGCCAGGAACCATCAGACAACAGTGGTGAAGGGTGAAAGTGACACTCACAAAGCCAAGTTCAGAGTCCAAGGGGTCAACTAGAACACATTACCAACCAGTGACAAAACAAATATGCTACATGAAGGAAACAAGCAACCAGAGAGTGAGAACCCACAATGTGTCTTTTCATCTTCCCGCTGATGAAAACTAGGACACAATCTATTCAGGCAGTGGCAAAAATTAAACTGACATGAACCTTGCTGTGCATTACGTCCTCCCAACACCTGATTTAGGCTAACATGTTTTAATCTGTTCTGCAAGAGAAAAGGTGAATTACAATTCCTCTTTACAGGGAGATTCAGTTTTAAAAGCACTTTTTGCTGCTTGAATATTAGCAAACATTAAAGGGTAAATTTACCATTTTCTAGGTGCAAATGTAACAAATAGTACCCTTTAGAAAAGTTTAGACGATAAAACATACAAGACAACAGGATTTTCCCCCTGCAGCGTTCAAAACAATAGACATTTCTCTTTAAGTAATCACATCTGATCTGTAATGAAAAGCAAGTTCACTTCTAGCTACCATTAGTTGAGAAGTCTGTCTAAAAACTTAGTACACTGGAGCACGTGGTAGGTTATTCCACACCCCTCAAACTCTCATGTAATCGTGTTTTTCATTCAAAAAGAGTGTCAAGTTTTCCTTCCTGACAGATCTATGGACTTTACAGCATCCCACAGATCTTGCACTCCATTCTATTACCATCAAATACATCTTGTAACTGAAGATACAAGCAAATTAAAATTCACATTAATAGTTCTTATCTTCCCTTGCTCCTCCACAGGCCACAACACTCATACATTATCTATTTAATAACCAGCCATGACATGAAAGGTAGTGTAATTCAAGTGGTTCTAGGCAAAGAACATCCCTATATGGCTCTAAATTTCAGGCATAGCATTTGTCACAGGGCCAACTGTGATACAAGTTTTATGTTCCAGGGCACCTCTGGTGCCCTGACTGCTTCAAAAATAAATAAATAAAAAAATCCCAGTACACATAGAAGCAGTCAGTATATCAGCCAATTCCTATTTCAGCTACAGCCATCCGGTTAAAGTTTAAGAAGGCTTTAAGCAATTACTTTACAGGGCAGCAGTACTGCTATTCATAGTTTTTCAAGGACTCAGATCAAGTTTAACATGGGTGGGGGAGGGTTTCAGCTTCTGCTACTAAAATTTCCAGAGGATACTTTCATTTATTAGTTCCTACTGTCCCCCTCTCTTCCACTGAAAGGTTAAAAATACTAGCCCCCATCTCAGCTAAAAAATTCCTTTACACATATTTTTAAGATCAAGCTTCTCTTTACTGTTCCTGTTCAAGCCATACAAAATATTAAATATGGGCATTTTGTTCTGTTGGTGAAATGAATTCAGAACGTTTGCAGAAAAGAGTCGCTGACAATACAAACAGCAGTTATGTTTAACTAGTTATTTAAAGAGGTTCCATTCACCATATAAAGAAATCAAAGAAAGAGGCTGGGAAAATAAATGCAAGCAGCTACAAGTCCTTGTTGCTCATTCAGTTTTAAATAAAAAAACTGTTGCTGGAAGAACTGAGATTTTGTCCTGCAGCAAATGAGTAGAAACTTTCTAATCAATCGAACCTTTTTATTGTTTGACACTACAGATTTTAGTTCCTGGACTAGAAGCCAAACAATAAATACTGAAGGATACCAATAATAGATTTTGTAAAGACATATAAATCTTGAAAATTCACCTAATATTTACAGGCTGTTTTGAAGAGAAAGAGGAGCTAAATTAATTCTTCAAGTGACTTCCCTCCTGATTGTACATATAGTCTGAAATCTAAAATAGATATCTTATCACATAGCCACAACTGAACACACAAACTTACATTGGGTAAACAGTTCTACAACTTACACAGCAGCTCCAGGATAAAATTAACTCCAACACAGGAGAGCAGCCAAGACAACACCGACAAAGAACAATGTGTGTCCAGGGATTTATTCACTAAGTGAAAATCTGCCTCCTCTTAACAAGTTATTCTGCTGGGGGCGGGCACTGATAAAACACAACATAACGTCATGATTATATTAACCATACAAACCAATCCAATAAAGCTCATCTTAAAAGAAACAATGTTCTCTTCCACCTCCACCCCTTTCAAAGCACCGGTTCAGAGAGGGGGAAAATCTCATTTTCACAAGTCACTGCTTGGATTTTTAGCACGATCAAGTAGTTTTGAAAAATTACAAGTCTGCTATTCAAAAGCAGGACCAAGCATCTATTTAGTTCACATTATGAAAACTGCATTAACAGTACAAAAGAGATGTTTGCTTGTGTGTAACTTTACTCATGCGAGTAGTAGTTCCATTGGCTTGTATGGGACAACTCAGAGTGCATAAAGTTAAGCATATGCGTGAATTTTTACAGGACTGAGGCCCAAGCACACAAACCTTTGTTATAAAACTTCACATTAAAATACCCAATCAAAATTCCTTGATCCATTTTCCTTAAAATGAAAAACATTCTTATTAATATACAGTAGCAAAGATTTAATCCCCGCCCCCCAGAAAAGCACCTGGGTTAGCTTTATAAAAGATATTTGCATTACTATTTTAAATTTAGCATACAATTGAAAACCTGATTTATATGAAAAAATATTTACTGTAAAATTTCAATCATCATGTTTCAGATTTCAGTAAACTTAAACTGACAGTTTTCAGGTTTACCAATAAATTATGTTCTAAATTGAACATTTTGACCAAAACATGTAGAACTTGAGGCATAGTTATGCTCCTAGTCCTAGTCCATATTTAGGTGTCTAAAAAGTGGCCTGATTCTAAAAAGTGCTGAAAGCAAAGGGATTTGCTAAATGCTGAACACTTGGGAAAATCAGGCCATTGATTTCGGGGCCTACATATGGATTTAGGAGGCTAACTATGCAGCCAGTTTTGAAAATCTCACCCTTAAAATGTTTGAATAAAGTACCTTTCCTAGTAAGGAGTGTTTAGAGATGTCTAAACTGGTTGTCTGTTCCCAGATTAAGTTGGTGGTCATAGTCATCCATGTGTAACTTAGCGAATCCAAAAGGTGACTCAGTCTTTACAAGGAGTCTCATACATTCTAGCAAGTCTACATTGTCTTCCACATAAAGAATTAGTAGGGCAAAACTCGAGTTACAAAACGCATAGCCTCCTAAAGTCAAAGATAAAATTCAGTCCTCTCTTCCAGTCAACAATCCCTCACAGACAACATTGCTTTAATTATGTTCAAGATCCAAAATGCTATTAAGCTTGCATTATACTTGATAATTTACTTAAGAAGTCACATCTCTGTGTTTGGTTGTAGAGTCTTTCCTTTTGACTCTGGAATAGCTGATGACTATGTTCACAAGTTTCAGGCGTGAGAAAGCCTGAAGCACCTGGCACTTTCCTATTGGCCTTTCCATACCTATTAAGTGACATTGTTTTAATAATAAAGACCAGGGTTCAATCCTGTAGATTCTTACACATCTGATTAAAGATACTCTCAAGTAGCCCTAATGAAGGGACTACTCATGGTTGAATACACTATCACTATCAATGTTTGTAGGATTGGGCCCCAGGTTTGATAGGGGAGGGAATGCAAAATATCCACTTTTTGGAACAGTCTTTAGCATGTAAAGACAGAGGTGGATTTAAAATATATTCCTTATGTTTATCACTGCTGACCTTTTGACCTCTGGCTTGGTAAAACTCCAATATATATATATATCCATCTTGAAGTCTCATCTACCTCTTCTGTTCCAGCTGAGAAGTGAGAATTTCCAAGAATGAAACCCCAAACCCAACCCTAATTCCCACAAACTCCCACACAGTAAAAATGAATGAATGTACCCAGATTAAAATAATTTCTTACGTCTGGCTTAACAGATATATTTACTGCTAATCAAAAAATCAGGACTTCCAACTCCATGGAGTAACTCAGGCCCAAGCGCACAGTTGTCTGCAGTTGTTTTCTGTGCAACTTTCCACACGCTGGTCCTGTCACAGAGGTTATTTTATCCTTCATTTTAAAGTGCGTAGACAAAAATATCTAAACTTTTAGATCAAAGAAAAGTAAACAAACATCTTTAAAGTTTTTGTTCTGTTTAATCAACATCATGGACCTCAGTCATAGGAAAACTCATAATCCCAGAAAGGTTTTCCATCACGGTTAAAATAGGAGTATGTAATACAGCATACCACTGAAGAATGCAATGAATGAAAACAAAAAATTATGAGGAACAGATTTGAGTATGGAAAAACAAACTAGTTCCCATCAAAACTAAATATCTAGCCCATTGAAATATAAAAGGTTTTGGTAGAGTCTTCATCAAATCCATCTATCATAAATTCCTCTAACAGCTCCTTGTTCTAGACAAGATTCAACCATGGCATCTAAGTTACCTTGTAGTTTATTCAGAATCAACAAAAATATATTTCCACCATCCAAAATAACCCAGAATTGTGAAAACTGTCTGCGGCAATTCGTGCTCAATTCTGGGGCATGGGGCTGTATGGAGGAGAACTTTATCAAATTCAAGCCACACTCTTCTTCACAGACTAATAAGAAAAATTTACAATAAGAAAGAAGCTGCTGACTGCACCATCTGCTAATCCTGTGAGTCTACTAATGTTTGGGTTTCTAGAGGTATATTTTCCCTTATATTCATAGGGATTTTCTCTTCCGATACCTGCAGTAGCATCTCAAGATAGGAGAGAAGAAAATCACACAAAGTCCCTCACTTTTACAGCTCTCAAAAACCAGTAAAGCTTTAATAGAGATCTTAAAAGAACACCAGTAACAAGAGTGCCCAGAAGGAATGCCTAGCTGAACAAGGCAAGTATCGTGAAACAAGGGAAGCTGGGAGAAACACCAGCAATGGGTAGAGCCATATATAGACACTGATAAATGTTCAGGTTTTCATATTCCAATCTAATGGATGGTAGCTGATTTTTTTTTAAACGTACTGGTTTGTGCATCAGCAGCTAAACAATCCTAAAAAGGTTTTAGTATAGCATCAAGAGTAACTTCTCAGAATGGACAGTCTATCCAAGTGTTTATATGGGCCCATCACTGTAGTACTGGAATGTCTCACATTAGTTGGGAGCTACTAATAGATCAGTATGCCATATACAGTAATACAGTGCATTTTTTAAAATGAATATCACTGATAAAATCTCTAAAAGCAGACACTTTGAATCCAATTAAAGTTTAGTAGTTCAGTGATATGGGAATTTTCATTGTTTCTTTACCTAGCAAAATAATACTGGTTTAGAATACAGTTGTTGGCTAGGAAGGTGAGTCAGGAGATACTGTCCGTTACGGTGTCTAAAATGTCTGTTCCCTTATAAACTGTAAAACTATTTCCAACACACTAATAAATTCGTCTAATTACATTTATTTACTTAAAAGCAAAATTATACAAATTATTCATTAAAGAACTATACCTATCAAAAACTAATCTTATAAAATTTTTATATATAAAAATACCAACCCCCAAAGCCAAGCATTTAGTCATGATGCAAAAAATAACTAACATTTTATTAAGGGTAGAACACCATTACAGATACATTGTTTTCTTCAGATTAGAAAGACCAGCAGATTTCTTATCCACCTTCATCAGAAACACTATTAAATACAGAAAACTATATTAAACTTTAAGATTTTAAATGTACATGTCAGGCAAACTTTAAAGGCCCCCTTGCACATACTGATTATAAACAATGAGGCATAATTACATGATCATAACACATTAGGCAATATCATGTGTAGCTTGAAAATCACTCGGGTAGTGCAGAACATGGCTAGCTGTTATTTGGAGATGCTTCATACAGGGGCCAAGATGTTAAAAAATAAGAACCTAAAGTTACGCTTCTGAATAAGTAACCTGACTTTCAGAAGTCCTGAACACCCAACAGCTCCCACTAACATCAATGGGAGTTGCTGGCCATTCTGACTTTTGAAAATCACTATTTATTCAAGACCCAAACTTTAGGTAATTTTTGAACAGCTTGGCCAAAGTACTTAGCAGTACTTCACATCATACCCGTGCACCATGATCTCCAAGGGCTTCCCAATTCATTTTGAGGTGCAATTCAAGGTGATGGTTTCAACTTCTAAATCCCTATATGATTTGGGCCCTGGCTACTTTAGATCACCTCTCACCCTGCCTCATACTGTGGCTATTGGAATCAGTCCAAGTACCTCAGCAAACAGCCCCATGGTTTAGATGGGAAGAAGCTGATCACAAGCTCTGCTCAGTGAAGAACACTCAACTCTGGAACATGCCTTTAACCTTTGGTCATGCAAAGCCAACGTCCACTGGCCTACGCAGCACATGGCCAAGCTTATCCTGTTTGCCCAGGAGCTTGAAGAGGAACAGGGATTTGAGGAGAAGAGAAGTTGGGAAGTAAAAGTTTCTAGTTCTTTTGGGCTGAACGTTTTGGGAAGATTGATATCCAGTTCAATTTTTTTAAAGTTTATTTGATATTGACATGCACCTAGAGTACAGGACAGGAACATTTTATAAAGTAAATATATCCCGGGGCAAATAGAATGAGAGGGGACTGGAGTTTTTTCCTCAGATTTAAATGCACATTTATAATATTTTGTATTACAAGTTGCTTTGTTAAATATAAGCAAAGCCCGGCTATGCCATGTTCTGTAACTGGTACACGCTGAAAACTTCTCTGGGAATTCAATATGTTCCTATAAAAAGAAAATCTGTTTCCAAAATACAAAGAAGCAGCTATCCAATCATCAACAAAAATCTAAGTGCAGCGAACTCATAATTTTCTGAGAGTGAATTCAAAGGAAAGTCAGGGTTGTATTAAAGACACAGATGAGATCTATTTTTTCACATTTCCAGAACAGAGAAACAAGAAGTGTTATAGTTCATGGATGAAGGAGAAGAACAAAAAAAAAAAAAAAAAGTTATGTGCTGTACGTGGCACGTCCTCTCTCAGATCCTGCCGTCCCTGCTTCCTCCTATAAAGACTGGATCTACATTTCCCTCTTCTT